CAGCAGCAGCAGCAGGAGAGGTCATCGAAACGACGCACTCCACTGGCCTACATGTTTGCGGTGAGTAGTAGGATCTACCTGAGACCTCTGGTAACTAATGTCTTTTTCCCAGCTCCTTCCAGTGGCCACCTTCTGCCTGGGAACATGGCAAATCTACCGACTGCGGTGGAAGCTGGAGCTGATCGCCAAGCTGGAACACCTGGTCAAGAGTCCGCCGGTGGAGTTTCCCGAAAAGTACCGACCATCAGTGTCAATGTTTTTCTCTTTACTAACTCCAACCTTGTTATCTATAGTCTGACCAATCTCCAGGAGCAGGAGTACCTGAAGGTCCGCCTGACGGGCTACTTTGACGCCAAGTCAGAGCCGATCTTCATCTTTCCTCGTCCTCTTCTAAAAGAGTCCTCAACCTCGAATAAGCAACCCGAATCAGGCGGCGGCCTCTTCAGCAGCTCCAATTCGAACATTGGCGCCCAGCTCGTGCTGCCCTTTGTTGTAACAGAAAGTCGTCTGGTGGAAGCGTACAACCAGCTGCTGCTCGACTCGGGCCGCGAAGACCTACTGATCGACAACAGCAACGGCAACAAACAACAGCCGATGCGAATTCTGGTGAACGTCGGCTGGGTGCCGCGAGAGACGATGGACCGGGTGAACCGCTCGTACTACGGCACCAAGAACAACTCCAGCAGCCCACAGTCAGCTTACAATCAGGAGATTGAGCTGATTGGCGTCATTCGCAAGACGGAAAAGGTTTGGCCTGCACCAGAGTTCTACTTCAAAACAATCTAACCTCTCCATTTTCCATTTCAGCGAGAGCCCTTCACGGCGAAGAAGGACACCGGCCATGGCTACGTCAGCCGGCGGGACATCAGCAAGATCTCCGAGGCGCTCGACACGACGCCCATCTTCCTGGACGCCTACCAGTCCTATCCGATCTCGCTCGCCTACCACGGTGAGACGCTGAGCCCGGTGGGGGCGCAGACCCGGGTCGCCCTTCGCAATGAGCACCTCTCCTACATTGTCACCTGGTACAGTCTGACGGGCATCCTCTCCTACCTCTGGTACAAGAAGATCTTCAAGCTTCGTCTGTAGTGTTTTGCCAAGTCTTGTTGTTCACCATTTACCTAAATAAATCTGTCGTTTTTGAATCCAAAAAGCACAAATTGAGGGGATCCTAAAACATTTCCCGGCGGCCGTCAAAACAGTGCCGGGAAAGATTGCCGCCGCTTGGATGATTTGTTGTTGTTCTCTTTCTGGAGTAGACTATCTGTGATCATCCAGTAGTTCAAAGAAGATGGCCAAGAACGAACCAACAAATGAGGAAGAGCTGTCGCCCAGCGAGCAGAAGCGCCTGGAGGAGCTGCTGAACCGGGAGATCAGGCGGATCAACGAGGCGGACGAGCAGCAGCAGCNGATCAACGAGGCGGACGAGCAGCAGCAGCCTGGCAGCAAAAGTCTGGAGCGCTTCAACTACGCCGGCCTCCTCTCGACGCTCTTCTACCTGGGCGTCTTCCTCGCCATCGGCCTGCCCATCTGGTACCGGACGACCACCCCGGAGCGGTGGCCCCTGCCCGACGTCAGCCAGCTGATGGTGCGCAGTCAGACGCTGACGCACTACTACAAGATCTCGGTGGTCTTCCTCGAGGACCCAAGTGCCACTTCTAAAGAAGAGATCGAGACCAGCCGGCTTCGGGCCTGGCTGCAGAACAATCACCCCCGGCGGCAGAGCCTCGACGGCAGCCTCTCCTTCACCAACGACTGGACGGTGCGGGCCGCCTTCGAAAAGGAGCTGAAGGTCTTCGCTGAAGTGGCCAGTTCGAAATCACTGGAGGCGGTGGACGAGGCCTTTGGCGACGAGCCGGACACCCGTCCCCAGCCCAACTCTATCGTCTTCTACGTTCTGCCTCAATCATTGAAAGCAAACACACTGATCACCAGCGGCCACTACCGAGCTCTCTACATTGACCTTCGGAACCTGCCAAAGCCAAACGAGGACGAGGGCGAAAATGTACACAGCCTTCTGGGCGAGGCCATCAACCGGCAAGTGGAGGCCATCCAGTCGGTGGCGGAGCAGTTCTACGCCGCCCAGGCCGGCCAGGACCACGACCAGGACGTGTCGCTGCTGATGGGCCGCAACTTTGACCTCATCTTCGATGTGATCTACGAGGACGAGGAGGAGGAGGAGGAGGCTATTGAGGGCGGCAAACCGTTCCTCGAGGCTCGACGGGACCGCCACCAGCGCCTGACCGCCACCATTGACCAGCTGATCGGCAGCTTCTACCGCCGTCATCAACAGTTTGCCAGCTACTTTCACGTCAACTTCATCTCCCAGGTGCTGCACTACGTCCTCCCGGGCGACTTTATCAGCTCGAGGCTGGTGGCTAAGCCATCGAATGGAACATCATCAACAAGCAAATCGGACCAAAGACTGCTGCCTCTCTCCAGCGCCCACGCCATGCTCGACTACATCGAGGCCCGGCGGGTGGAGCACGACAATGAGAAGAGCTACCACGTGGTGCTGTACGTGGCCAGCAACCGGGCAAAAAAAGGTTCTCTCCAATTCTACGACGCCGCCTCGGAGGCCAAATCGAACCTCCTCACGACGCCCTTTCGCGGCGCCATTCTCATCCTCAACGGAGGAGAGGGGCAGGCGGCGGCGGAGGACCTCTTCACCGGCTTTCGCCAGCTGATGAGAGGCTTCTTTCGACTGAGCGATAGTCAACAGCAGTCAACCGTGCTACATTCCAACTCCTTCACCTTCTTCAGCCA